CCTGGTTGCTATAGAAATATTCTAAAATTTAGGATATTTGTAAAAGCTAATTCTATATATTAAAGACAACTTTGGCAGCCAATAAAATAGATGACTATTTTTTATTGTAAAGAGATAAAATTTAAAACTAAAGTAATATTTTACCTGAATTATCTTGAGTGAATGTATAACTCATTTATATTTTATTTAGAAATCATTATCCAAGTTGGAGTTTTAAAATTTAAAGTGTAAATTTTGCCTAAAGAAATAACTGGCGACAGAGAGTAGCTATACATTTATCAAGTATATGTTCTGGGAATTATAAACTCAGCTGCTTCCATTACTACAGCACTTACTATCATTTTATAAGCACAATAAGTCAGGGTCCAAGGTTTCTCCCTAATTACCATCCACAACTGAACAGAGGGCAGGCAGGTGCTGGGCAGGCCTGGGAACAGACGCTGTCTTCAGTGATTCTCACTCTATAACACCACAGCTTTACTCCACAGAATCTTCCGTGAGGCTGCAACATTTTTTGAACCCAGTGGGGACTATGTTTATTATTATTACCACTGACACCAATACACCATATTATTTTTAAGACAAGTAAAAAAAAGCCTAAGACTTAAAATTATCATGGATTTCGCTAATGCACAATTTAAAGGGGCAATGATTTGCTATGTAATTTGAACAAAAAGGTCAATTGTTTTCTTCCCTTTGAAATTTAAGCATTTACTTTATGAAAATTGGTGATAAGTCTACCTATAAAGATAAATAGACTTTTCAAGAGAAAAAACATTTTTTCTTATGACAATTGGCATAAAAACACTATCCATTGTAGAAACAATGGGATTTAAATTAAGATCTAAAGAAAAATACTGTTAAACATCATCAAACAGTAAATATAAAAAGATGGCAAATTTAAAGGCCAAAATTTATGTGAGAATATATTAAAGGAATTATTCACATAAAATGAGTTGGCATTTGTAATATTTTTGGCCCAGGTAAAAGAATTAACAATAACTACTATTTACTGAGTACTTGAGATACTTAATAACATATACATATAATTTCACTCAACTCTAGCAATAACACTATGAGGTAGATATTTTATTCCTATTTAGATAAGGAAGCTAAGTCAAACTTTCCTGCTACACAATAAAAAAGGAATCATCCATTCCCTGACCACCAAATTAAAAACATTTGTACTTTGATTAAAAGAAAGCAAAGTGGTCAGGAGCAGTGGCTTACACTTGTGATTTCAGTACTTTGGAAGGTAGCGGTAGGAGGATCATTTGAGCCCAGGCGGTCGAGGCTGCAGTAAGCTATGATATCACCACTGCACTCAGGCTGAGGGACAGAGAGACTAAACTAAACTAAAATCCTGTGTTGTGAACACACTCATTAATAAAATCATAAATGCATCCATGTTCAGGTTAACCTGGTTCTTTTCTACACTTTAAATTTGAAACAGAAATAGAATGATCAGCACACATGTACCCAGTGCCTAAACCACTGACTATGATGTTGGACTTTGGAGACAAAAGAGAGAGAAGCAGAGTTGTGATGATGCTTTATCTTCTCTGACATTTTAAAACTTACTCACCAATAATAAATATTAGATTATTCCCAAAAACACTCAAAAAAGTTTCTCTTTTGAGCACATAATATCACTTTTCCAAACTAAATTATGAAATCTCTTATTTTCAGAAGCCTGCATCAAACAGAAGCCGTACAGGTGGTCCTCAGATCTGGGGCTGTCGAGTGGTTGGGTCACCAGAGCCCTGAGCCAAGGGACAGCAGGAAGCAGAAGGAATGCATGGACCCATCTGTAACTGCAGGCTCCAAGCCCAACTCAGCAGTCTATAGTGGTCCTTAGGTCATAAAGTCAACACTGCGTTCGGTGAAGAGTCCTGCTAGGAAGCGGTGGCAGTGAGTCCCCCCAAGAGATAAACAATCCTCAGCGTTGGCTGAGATTCCTCAGGGGCGCGCAAGCCCTTTGGGAAAAGCTAAACATTGTTCTCACCGCAAAGTAAACTCAAATGCTCTACCTTCAAACTGAAGTCTTTAAAAAGCACAGCTGGCCTTAATGCAATGGTTCCTGACACTAATGGATGGGTATATACTGTATAAAACGAGCATGTTCGTAAACACAGAGCAATTAAGACTCCAGTTTATATGCTCACCCAGGCGAAACACTAACTTGTAAGGACCCAGAAATGGCTAAGGACCTGGTGCTAGCCAGGGTGATATGCAATCACAATTAATAGCAGGGGTTTCGTATTTTAAATGTTTACCTCTTTTCCTAGGTCTTTCCCCACCCCATCCCCACTTTTTTTTTTTAAGAGACAGGGTCTCATGATGTTGCCTAGGCTGAAGACTGTGGTTATTCACAGGCATGATCATGGTGCACTGCAACCTCGGAGTCCTGGTCACTAGTGATCCTCCCATCTCAGCCTCCGGACTATCTGGATGACAGGCACCTACTACCCTGCCTGGCTTTTTCCAGTCTTTTTAGTCTTTTTCCATTTGAGGAAAGAATGACAGCAAATACCATGATCACATCTTAGAGTCTAATGTGGAACAAAGGATACCAGACATTAATTATAAACCCAAGGCAGCTTTGAACTAGCACCATGTCAAGTTTCTTCACAACCTCTAGAAAGCTTATCTAGAAAGACTGTCATTCTTAGGAAGCTCAGCACAGCCTAACCATGGGTGGTCCCAACTCTCTCCCCTTCCATGACTGTTGCTTCCTGGTCACCAGCCTCCCCTTTCCCCAGCACAGTAATCATGGAATACAGAGACTGGAAGCCTTGAAGTGAGGCCCCCCTGGAGGACAGTAGAGGTGGGTGGCTGCAGGGTGGGGAGACTGCAGGAGGCAGGGTGGGGTAAGAGGTCAGCATGGGATCCACAGCAGGTGAGGTTACCTTGTGGGGGGCAGGGGGGCCAGGGTGTGGGTGGGAGGAGGGCCTCTGTGGGTTTGGGAACCAAGGGATACAGGGTGGGGGCGGCAAGGGTCCAGGGCGGTATCAGAACCCGAATGATGCCTGGAAAGTGTCCACGTAGTCACCAGGGCTCCCGCAGGGTGAAGGCAACATCTGGAAGGAGCGGGAGGATGTTGGAGTGGGGGACACAGCAGCCAGCCTGCATGGGCTGTGGGAGCCTGAGGCGTGTGCCGTGGTGGCTGCGGCACTGGGGCAGCAATGTTCTCAGACAGAGCGCCAGCCCCACAGAGGGAGGGCCCAGGGCTGGGTGGGTGCTGGAGCCTGAAGGGTGCAGAGGCCCTTGCAGGAGGCACAGGCTGAGATGCCCACTCCAGCGGCAGAAGGGAATCCATGGGAGGGTCCAACTGGGACCTCTATGTGGGTGAGGGAAGCCGTCCCCTGGGCTTGGTCACAGCCTGGGGCAAGAAGAGGGCCCAGGGAGAGAGGAGGTTCTGGGAAGCTGCCCTAGGGAAGGCCTCAGGGGGTATTCAGGCCTTGATGGCAGAGAGGGGAGAATAGAAAGATCCTGGGCAGGAGATTAGAGTCAAGGAATTAGAGATGTCAAAAGCACGCAAAGAATATTGTCAAATCCACAGCACCTGTGAGAAGTTCATAAACACCTCTGGCAGCAGAGTGGGAGATAAAGGAAATTAAAGAACTCAGGAGTCACTTGATCGTTAGTTATTTATACTATTATAATTCTAAATACAAACAACAACAAAGCAATAGGAATAGATTATTTTTCAGATATAGTTTACCTTTAAGCAATCGATAAAGCCTTTCTTAAACAAATAATTCCAGTGAATAGAAAAAGTGAAACTCATCCTCACTAATTTTGCCAAGCTATTACAACCTTTCTTTCAAGAAGGAACAATGGCATCACAATAAAGAAAAAAAGTGTTAACTTCACCTACATGCAAATAGCTATAGAAAATATTTCTAAACGAAATCCAGCAATGTTTGTGTGTGCGAGTGTGTGCGAGTGTGAGTGTGTATGTGTGTGCGTGTGTAAGACCAAGTTAAACTTATCTAAGGAATGCAATGATGATTATTTAACATTAAAAATATTATAAATACAATTCACCACATTGACAAAATAAAGGAGAAAAATTATATAGTCATTAAAAAATTAATATTCTGCATTAAATAAAATTAAACACTACTGCATCATTTTAAAAAAATTCAGCAAACTAGGATTAGAAGGAACTTTCTTAGCCTGATTAAAAACAAAACAAAGCCTCAGCAAACATAATATCTAGTGATAAAATCTGGAATATTTCCTTTGAAGTCAGAAATGAGATGAAGATGCCTGTTATCATGACTTATACTGACTGGGGCCCACTCTGCCTGGTCAAAGCACTAAAAAAAACTTGGTATCAGGCGCAGAAAGGAAGAAACAAGATTGATATTTTCACAGATGAAGTAATTGCCCACACAGAAGATCCAGGCCAGTTAGTGAATGACAGCAAGTAATAAGAAAACAAACCTCTACACCAAAAAATGCAAGGTGCTGAAAACCGTCATACTCGAAAGTCAAGATATTCCTGTGTGCCAAAAATAAGCCACTAGAAAACTGAATTTTAAAAATTCAATTAGCAATGGCATTAAAAATCCTTAAAATACTCACAAATAAAAGCATAAAACTAGACATAAGGATTTAAAAACACTGTGATGGATAAACTGATCACTGGAAAATAAACTTTTAGATGGGATCATAAAATATTACATATTAATGGCAGAGGATGGATATATTTAGGCTCCAAATAATAGAAAACCAACTGAAATGGCTTAAATAGTGAGCAGAATTATCATCTCACCAAACAAGTCATTCTGAGGGAAGGCCCACAGTCATATTCAAGGCCTGAGTCTATTCTGCCTTCCCAGACGCCAGTGAGCACCCTCTATGGCCACAACATGTGTGAAGTGCTGCCCACCTGTCTCCAGAGCAGGAAAGGGGCCCACTCCTCCCTTATGCATCCTTTTCATCAGGGTGAAGTCCCCTTCCCAGAGGTACCTCCAGCAAGCTTCCCTGGCCTAGGCTAGAGCTGCTAAGGCAGTCCAGGTGGACGTGAGGACCCCAGAACAGTCTAAGACCACCAGAACAGCCTGGATCACGCAGAGAGAGTGGGTGCTGCAGCATTCTGGTGTCTGGCAACATGAAGAAGAGGAACGTGACCTTGACAAGTGCCCACAGCACTATGGGGTGTTCATACGGGGTGGGAGAACAGCTGGCCACAGGGAGGAGAGGAGGCCTGAAGACGACCACAAAAGTTCAGACATTAATGTTTTTGTTAATTTTCAGTGGAAAATACAGAACCATATTTTTAGGAATTAGGGGCAAAAAAGGATTTTCAATATAACACACAAATAAGCATAAAATATAAAGGAAAAATTAACTAACCAGACTATAATACAATTTAAAACTTTTATACAATACACAGGAACCAAAGTCAAAAGACAACCCACAGCCTGGGGGAAGAATTTGCAGAGATAACTTTAAAAAGTCTAATATCTATAATACAGAAAGACAGTTTTTTTGCTACTTCAGAGATAAAAACTGGGTAAAACATACGATTGAGCAGTTCATAGAAAGGGAAAACGGAACAACCAATAATACAATGGGGGATGCCCAGCCTCGTCAAGAGTCAGAGAACAGCAAGTACTGACATGGGGCAGTACGGCCTCACCATGAAAAACATTTACATTTGATAATACTGAGTGTGGACACGATGCTAAAAACAAGCCATACCCCATTAACTGGCTCAAAATTTAGGTGATATTTGGTAAACTCAGCAATAAGCAACAGAAGACATGTTCTGGGATCCTCACCATGCAACTCTTCTGAATTATACACCCACACACACAGCTGCACACGAAGCCACCCACTAGACACCATGCGGAATGCACACACAGACTGCATGCTGGTGGCACGGCTCATGGGAGTGAGCTGGATCTGCAGACATCACTTTAGATTATCTTAAGAAGACAATGTGAAGAGGAAATCACAAGCTATTTAAGAACATCCATAGTGTGATATCACTTCGGTAAAAATTGAAGTCCACAACACAGTGTTCTGCATGATTTATGAAAAAGTAAATATTAAGTAAAAATATGAAAACAAGGAATCAAGATTATAATTATCTCTAGGGGAAGAAGAGGAGAACAGAGTGAGGAAAGGATACAGTGTCCAGAAGGCTTCAACTTTATCTCAACTTTTATTTCTTTAATGAAAAAGGATCCAAGATTAATATGAAAAAAACTGGCAAATCATTTTGGGCCTATGTGGACAGCACATAGATATTTGTCATTTTATGTAAGTTTATACTTTATAATCTGTTATATGTTTTTTATAAAGCACTGCATAATTTAAAAAATATTTTATTTATAGTTTATACTTCATACTTTTTAGAATTACATCTTTTTTTAAAAGTTTCTGTTCAGGCTCAGTGTCTCACGTCCATGATACCAGCACTTTGGGAGGCAGAAACAGGAAGATCACTTGAGGTCAGGAGTTTGAGACCAGCCTGGGCAATACAATGAGACCTTGTTTCTATACAATTTTTTTTATTTCCCATGAAAATATTTTATCAGTCATGAAAAGCCCTATCCCAGACATGAACCTCTGCATAAACACTACCAATGGAGCTGACCCCTTCATCTTGTACTAAACGCCGTACTGAAGCATATGCTGTATGTGGCTTAAGAATTAGAGATGAGACAGTATCAGAAGAAATGGAAATAGCAGTAACATTTTACGGGAAAGTAGCAAGGATCAAATAAAGACGCCACAAAGATCAACAAAGGTCCAAGTGGCATAAACTTGAGGGAGGTTTTTAAAGGTTAGTTGATGCTGAAAAAACACCCTCCGTATTGAGTAAAAAGCCAAAGATGTCACTGCCAAAAATATTTTTTTAAAGAGGTATGAGAAATGTTTCCACTTAAGTTTCAACTTGGGGCATTCAGAGATTCTGACACAGGGCACATATTAACAGTGTGATTTACCACTAAGACTATCATAAATATCAAAGTATTTCCCTGGAAGTCAAACTTTAATTATCACCATCCACGCAGCTCCCACAACAACGTACCTGAAGAAGAAGCCTTTCAACAGCCAGAAGGTTGTCCCACTTGGCAGTCTGTGGGTGCTTCAGAGTTTGGGCTGTGGCCAGCCCGAGCTGCAGGAGCCCACAGTGACTCCGGAGGGCACGTAGGTTGCTCCTGAAGAGCTGGACGTAGGATGTGAGCTGCGCCGGTGTGACTCTCCCTGGAAGACATCGCAACTGATCAGTGTCCCCTCCTGTGAGCAGTGAAAGTAAGGAGAAGGGTGTCTACAGCAGCAGCACTGCTACCACTTGCACAGCTCAGAGTCGACCACAACCTTCCTACGCTGTGACTCTTACAGCAACATGGGCACAACAGCAAAGGTGACACTGTTATCTACCTTTTGCAAGGAAAGAAACAGATGTTAAGGGATCTGGCCAAGGTCACATTGCTGGTCAAGTTCATTGTATCATCATGTAACACCCTGTAAATAAGTTTTCCAACAAAGTTACACAGATAAATATTTGCTAGGATCAACTTGAAGTATCGCTTCATGGCATGTAACAATCTACAAAGGGAAGGCAAGATTTCCAATTCTGTGTGTATGTACCTGAAGGAGAGGTCTGTAATGGCTACTGCTAAAACCCTTCTATGGGTATGAGTGGGCTCATGACACTACTCATGGGATAAAAGCTATCTGTTCTATGGAACACAGATGCACTGAGAACCACGCTGGCCCAATATAGGAAGACAAGAAATCAGAAGAACGGGCTTGATGTGGGCAACAGCACATGGACCGCAATGGTCACCAATGTTTAGAACAAAAGAAGCCAGCTCACAAAAGGAAAGAGACTGCACGAAGCCCACATACGCCACCACACACCTGCTGTCCAGGAGGCATGCCTCGGAGCCCCTCAAACCAAGGCCTGCCTCCGGCAGTCCTCCCATCACATAGCCTCCTGCTCCTGGTCTTTCCAGAGCCATTCCTGCCATCCTCCTCCAAGGCACCAAGTCTCCCCATAAGGGCAGAAGCCGCGGGCAACACATATGTGAGGGTGCTCAGCCGTTCCTACATGTTCCTCCCACACCCTGTTCTCAGGCTGTTCTTTGATAAGGAAATCCAAATTTGTATGTTTGTTATTATATGTAAGTTTTTAAATATTTGGCAATGGAGCCATCTGTGTCTACTTAGAGCTGATATAGTACAAGGGCAAACAAGTCCTCCCTGACCTTCGGGGCAGCCCGGGAGGTAGCAGATGGCCTCGCTGTCTTCACTACCCATCAGCCCCTGAGTGCTGAGAGCTGTCTCATGCAGCATCAAGGGGCAGATACCATGTAGGAAATCGTCTTCACGAGAGATCATAATACACAAAAGCAAAGACTTGGCCACAAGAAACTACGTTTCAAAGTCCACACCCTCTTTTTCTATCCTTTTGTGTTTTGAAGAGGTTAAGAATCTCTGCGCCTCTCACTCCCAACTTATCAGAGTCAGCATGTAAAGAGAAGTGGCAGTAGAATGACTGGTAGGGAGGCAGGTCTCACTAGTCTCTTGGTCCCTTGGGAAAGCTCAGGTGGATTCCAGCAAGCTGACAACTTGTTGTTTCAAGTACTCATAGGAACAAGCTCATTATCACCTTGTGTTTTGGTTGGGTTCATGAAGGTGTTATTTACGCATGGTGAAATGCACCTTTTCTGGTGTACATGTCTATGGATTCTGACAAATGCACACAGGTGGGTAACCACTCCACAAGCGCGACATGGACATTCCTGCCCTCCCCAAAGCCACCCTCCCACCACTGAACATTCTGCTCCCCACTTCAGCCTTGGCCAACATGTGTGTGCATTAGGCACATTTCTGGCCTAGTGTTTTACCTTTCTGGAATGTCATGTCAAGCAAATCATACAGTCTACAGCTACCTACACCGGCCTCTTGAACTAGAGTTAGAGGACCCATGTTTGGGATTCACCCACAATGCTGAGTACATTTCCCCATGTGGCTGTACCATAGTTCATTTAGCCACTTACATAATGAGCATTTGGGTTGTTTTAAGTTTTTAGAAGCTATTAATAAAGCCTTCACAAACAACTGCGTACAGATTTTCACATGTGTATATGTGTGTGGGGGCATGTGTTTTCATTTTTCTTGGGGTCATATGCTAAGTGTGCATTGAATTACATAAGAAGCTGGAAAGCTAAGCTGATTTCCAAGGGCAGCTGTCCCAGCAGCAGCGTGTAAGTTTTAGCTGCCTTAGTGCTTCACCAGCACTGAGTTTTGTAAGCCATTTATATTTCAGTCATTCTAACAGGTGTACAGCAGTGTCTCACTGTGGTTTTTGTTTTCATTTTTCTAGTGGGCAATGGTGTTGAGCATCTTTTCAAGGGCTTATTTGCCACCCTATATCTATTTTAGTGGTTGGTTCCAACCTTTTGCCTAGTTTTTTTTTTGTTGTTGTTATATGCTAGTTTGGATTGTTTTGGTTTTTTTTTTGAGTTGGAGTCTCACTCACCCAGACTGGAGTGCAGTGGCCGCTTCCGGCCACCGCAGCCTTGACCTGCTGGGCTCCGGTGATCCTTCTGCCTCAGCCTTCCAAGTAGCCAGAATTACAGACATGCGCTACCACGCCCGGCTGATTTTTTGATTTATTGTAGAGATGAGGTCTCGCTGCCCAGGTGGGTCTCAAACCCGCGGGCTCAGGCAATCCACTCACCTCAGCCTCCCAAAGGCGCGGGATTACAGGCTGAGCCACCGATCCCGGCTTTGCCTAGTTTTAATTTAGGTTGTTTTTTTTTCATATTACTGAGGTATGAGTGCCATTAACTTTTATTAATTCAACATGCATGTCTATGACAAGTCGGTTCTTACTTCTAGGAATAAACCCATGAACAAATCCAGACAAAAATCCCATCCCTATCTTTGTGGTAAAAAAATGAAAAAGACAACACCTTGAAGCTCTCCTAATTCAGCCTCTTCCGTGTCATTCTCTCTTAAGGGATGGGAACCCTTTGTGCAAATGATTAACATTCATATGCAATGATACCCTCTGATACCTATCACATTAAATATGTGAAAACAAACTTCATACACATTGCAAGCTTGTCGTGAGCTCCACTAACACTGGACTGAATGTGGTGGCAGTGTGGCTCCTAAACACAGAATTTAGTCTATCAATAGAGATACTCATTTGATAATCATACAAGAAATGAGTCATGATTGTGATCAAAGTGTCGTAGAGGCGTGAAAAGCTCTGCATGATATGAAAGCTGCCTCCCTCTCCAAGTCCATCTCCTCAGCTGAGAGGAACCACAGCCTCAAAACACACACAGCTCGCCTATAACAAAAATAGTTTTTTAGGAAGACTACAGGAAATGGCTTCCCAGAGAAAGTCATCAGAGGACCTATTCAGATGTCTATTGTAATAACCATATGTTCATTTTTAAAGATAACGGTGTTGGCCTGGCATGGTGGCTCATGTCTATAATCCCAGCACTTTGAGAGGCTGAGTTGGGAGGATTGCTTGAGCCCAGGAGTTGAAGGCGGAAGGACTGCTTGAGCCCTGGAGTTGGAGGCCAACCTTGGCAATATAGCGAGACTTCGCTTCTACAAAAGATAAAAAACAGTTAGCTAGTGTAATGGCACATATCTGTAGTCCCAGACACTCAGAAGGTCGAAGACTTGGTGAGCTGTGATCATACCACTCCAACCTAGGTCAGAGTGACCCTGACTCAAATAAAAAAAAGATAAGAGTGTTTTTGATGAAAAGACATATCCAATGTGTTATCCAGTGAGCATTTCCTCATTGAGACTCAGACCTGGCCACCGCATGACATCATGCCACCTCCCCCAGGAGGCATGTGATCATGGGAACCATGGACCTGCCTCCCACAGAAATGCCAACAGAACTTGGTCTTGTAACCTGACCCTGTAGTCTCACCTTGTAGCCTCACCTTGCGCCCTCCTCACCTTGTAACCTCCCCTCTGCTGCTCAATCCTCTCCCCCTTTGCCATCCTTCCTCTTACCCTTTGCCATCCTTCTCTTTCACTCTCATGCTGCAGCCTTCACCAGGAGGCAGGTTGCTCAGTGCAGGTTAGACATAGAGAGATAAGTTTCTTGTGGGCAGATTAAATTAAGTAGGGTGAGTGCTCAGACATCTTTCTTACCAGCACACGACCTTCCCCCAGCTGACCAGGCACATCAGACCTACCGACCCTGCAGCATGGTATGTGGATCTGCCAGGGCACCAAATCACAGAAACAACAGGGAATCGTCCAAAACACAGACATGGTGTTCTAAGAAAAGCCCAAATTTAGTTAGGCAAGAACTGTCATTATTGAGACAGTCCTTGTGACCTTAAAGGTTGAGAGATGGTCATCAAAACCAGACACTTGCAGCCCACCCTTCTTGGCTCATAGAAGGTAGAATATGATCCTCAAAACTTGTGACAAGACACCTGCAACACATTCAAAGAAGGTGGATAAATGGTGATCAAAACTCATGACCAGATACCTGCAGCCCATCCCTCTTAGCTTTTGATTTGTTTAACAGCCATAAAAGCATATAACACTTCTTGTCAAAGGCAAGAATGCATTCTTTCTCTTAAGATGCCCATGCCCATTGGGTATGCCTCTTTTTCTCTAATGAATTCTGTCTCAAAATATACTTAGGACTCACTTTGAAATGCTTTTCTGTTGTGAAGTCAAAGAACCCATTGAGTAACACACCACAGCCCAACTGGCACAAACTGGATATATCATGAAAACAGATTTATGTTTTCTCCTACAAATCCGTAACATACTAAAATTTAAGTTAAAAAAGTTTTTCACACAGATGCTTTAAAATATAGACCGAATACATTTGAAATTTTAAATGGAATCATAAACTTACAGAAAACAAATGGAAGTCAACTAATTGACTCCCAAAAATGCTGCAGTGAGACTGGCATCTTGAGTAAAAGGTTCTTAGTTCACACTGGTCCAAGCAGCAGGCAACGAGAACCAGGTGCTGAAAAAATAATGGACAGCACCTTTATTTTGACCTCACATTACAAAAACAAACAAAAAACCCTTCTAGGCACATTTACATGGTGATTTTTAAGGTGTCAACCCAAAAGTCTTTGCAATATATTTTTAAAAGTCATTAAAAGAAAGGTTTTTTATATCAAGACTGCAACTTTTTGAAAAGTGACAATTTGACATTTGAAAAGTGATTTTCAAGAAAGAAAAGC